CACACACACACACACACACACACACACACTTATGACTCTGTGGAGACTTGAACAGAAACGAACTCTGAGGCGACTCAGCTGACCTGCGATGACAGACGACTGGTAGAGCGGGTGCATCAGCAGCCGTCTGATTCGTGCTCGGGCAGGGTGGGAGTGGTTTGAGATGGGCAGCTGGAACCGCATATCCCAGCAGGCCATGGTGCCGCTGCTCGTACCTGCAGGACACACAGACGTGAATGTTTCGCGGGACACCTGGACGTACGTCTTTGTTAAAACCGTTTTCCCGCCAGCACAAACAGATTTCGTGTGAGGACGCACGGACCGAGGCAGAGCCAGCACTGGTGCATGTCCACGGCGAAGGACGTGATGAGCCCGAGGCGGAGGTCGTGGCGCAGCGTCCAGGCGTTGGAGTTGGAGCGGAGGTCCCAGCCGACCAGCGAGCCATTGACGGTGGCGTACGCCAGCACCGACTGGGCGCCGGAGTTGAAGTGGTGGATGTCGACCGTGCAGCCGTCCTCCTGCAGGTCCAGAGACCTGAAAGAGCACAGACGACTTCCTGTCAGATATCCTGGCGCTCGTCTCAAACGCGGCTGTTATCTTGAACTGTGTCGTCGGGTTTCTGTTACCTGCTCTGGAACGGCTGCACTTTGGGGGATTTTGGCGGTTTGTTGGCTTCGACGGCGAGCAGCTGGATGGATCCATTATCCGAGGCCACGGCTAAATAGTGCGAGCCCTGACAGAAGGTCAGCGTCTTCACGTGGCCGCCGATGCGAGAGTACGTCAACACCGACCTGCGGAGACACGGTGAGGGTCAGTGACTCCGCGGTGCCGCTTCTGCGTGCGGGGCAGGCGCACCTGAACCTCACCTGGTGGTCGTGGTCTTGCCCTCCATCTTCTGGCTGTCCCACACTTTGACGGTCCCGTCGTTGGACGCCGTGGCGAAGATGGAGTGCTCGTCGGAGACTCTGATGCGGTTCACGGCAGCTTTGTGTTCGTGCAGGTGGGCGACCAGCAGGCCTTTCGGGTGCCACCCTGAAACAGTCACAGCTGTGTGAGGCGTGAGCTCGCCGCGCCCTGCCCGAGGCCCGCTGCGAGTGCGGCGGCGCTTACCTGGAGGAGGAGGCCGGCTCTCCCACTCGGCGCTCTCCATCATCTGCTTGGCCATGCGCTCGGCGCTGCACTGCTCCCTCTTCTGCTGCACCAGCTGCTGAAGCTCGGCCTTGCACGTGTTGAGGCGTCGCTGATAGGCGGGGCCGCTCGCCACCGACTGCAGCACGGGCACCGCCAGAGCCGCGGTGCTCTTCCTGATCTGACTCCCCGGCCCGTCGGCGGCCTGCGAACCCAAACCCAAGGTTAGCGACTGAAAGGAACCAGAACCACAGAATGATCTCCCATCATGCCCCGCGGCGCGCGAAAGGACGGCGTGAAACCTTAGTGGAGCAGGTTTCCTCCCACTGCAGGATACTGAAGATGAAATCTAACGACGGTTCCTCCCACTGCACCGACACACAATTACGTTAGAACATGATGACGACACAGCTGTATGATGAAGAACCCAGAAAGTTTACCCACAATGCATTGTTTCGAGTGTTGTCTGCTGAGCTGTCAAACTACAAACGTCCCTGATGCTTTTAGCCCCGCCCCTCTGTACCTGCAGCCTCTAAACTCTGAGAATAATCACACATCTGCTCTCAGACTAACTGCGACCCGCCACAGCATCGTATGCATGTCGGGCGGCGTTACCGTGGCGGGCTGGCTGGAGGGCGGCTCCTGAGACCCAAACATGCTCTTCCACTCCTCGTTCATGGTGGAGTCCTGCTTGGTGTGCTTCCTGGCTGTGGGACAGACAAACAGGACGTTAACCACGAGCTCAGAGGAAGCAGCTTCCACAATCAGTGAGACTAAACCGAGGAGAAGGAAAAACAAATGTTTATGTCACACAAAGAAACGTTCAAACAATCCTTCATGTGCTCATCGAGAGGAGATACTTTTATTTTGGAGGGCTTTGATTAGACGCAGTGAGTCTGTCGGCCGCTCGCTGACCACAAAGCCAAAGTGATTAACGAGACAGATCAGATGCACATGAAGCTGATTACTGTGGCGGAATTACACAAAAACATCTGGAGCAGGATTATTTCAAAGCAGCGGGACCGTTTACATACCCCACAGCAGACAGTCATCACAACAGACACATGGAAACACTCAACAACACAACAAGCGTCAGAGCTGAAACCCTGCAGCTCCTCTAACGTCCAGCAGAGGCAGCAGTGGGTCGTGTTTACAGCCTGATCAGCTGCAGGAAGTGCAATGAAGCACAAACAAAACAACAGTTTTAGTTCAGTTTCATGTCACGTCTTTGTTGATGTCACTCAGCTGTGAAACTGTAAAAAATGTGGGAGGAGCTTACCCGCCTTTAGACTAGGGCTGGGTTTTGAATATCGATGTTGGCATGGATAACGTGATATCGATTCATTAAAATCCTGAATAGATTTT